AAATTATAATTTTCATTCTTATAAATTACATTTGCATCTACAATAATCATAATATAACAAAAACTCGCGCTTTACGCGAGTCATATTCTAGTTACACATATTAAAAAAGGTTTTAGCTTTTAAAGCTAACAATCTTAGTCCTCTGACAATTGTTTAAGGATAATGATATATTTTAGTCTGTTTGGAACGTTGTTGCTTCTTGCTAGCGACTATTGTCGACCCTAAATAGTTATATAAAACGGTTACTTGGAATACAAGAACATGAAAAACAAATGACATCGGCATTGATATTGAAAACGCTGCGATAATTAACTGTCGCAAAAAAAAAACCAGCAACGTCTTTGATGTCAAAAATTGTTATGACTTAAAGTATCGCTGATCGTCGGAGACGAGAAACGTGACGATGAATGTTTTCTCTGCCTATTGATATTTCTCGTCCCACATTTCTATTGCACAACAAGAAAGCTAACATGGCTTATATGTCTCTAATAATGAGTTATCCATTTGTATGATCTAGCCAAACTGTCTAAATAAATTAAATTCTCATTGCCACTAGGTCACAAGCTAGACACGATAGGATTAAGGTATAAACCGTGATCCGCAAAGGATTTGTATCCTAAATCCTAATCTTTCGAGTGATCACACCCTCCAATCAATTATCCTAATTAAGTACATGATGCAATACCTAACCGATCACGTCTAAGATAGCTAATCTAATAAAAGCACTACGGCTATATTGTGAGTGATTAACAATATCTGCTAAATATTATGGAATGGTGGCAAATTAAAGTCCCATATTGTTTATACTATTAATAATAAACAAATGTAAAGGCACAAAATAACGACGTAAATTTTGTTTTATTGGAGACTATGGTTTGACGGAGATGGTGTTCTCAACTAGTTAGGCCGGGACGTGGATTGGATATCCGGAAAAAATGTAATATTTGTGATTCGATTTGTTTTTGACGGATATCAAATTTTTCGATTTACTTTGTTTCGAAAAATTTCGAATATCCGGGATGACGGATATCTGGATTTTTTTTAATATTTGCGGATATCTGCATCTTCGCGGATATCTATTCTAAACAAAAAAAATTAAAACACCATAATATTTTTTTCAAAAAAAAATTCTAATAGAAGATTTAAACTAATTAATCAATAAATATATGGAAAGAGTTTAATTTTATTCGATAAATTGTTTAAAAAATAAAAAGTGAAGGTGAAAAATGAAATATATATTTTTTTGTTTAAGAATTATATTTCAAATAAAATTAGTATCTATTTATTTTTACTATAAGTATTTTGCCAAGTATATTTAAAAGTAAAAAAAAATGTAAATATAGGTTAAAAATCTATCATATTATATTTATATAAGTACTATACGGATCAGATCGGATATTCATATTTTAAAATTACTATTTGTTATTTGCTTCGGTTTGGACGGATACTAAATTTTATTATTTGCTTCGCTTTGATTCAAAACAGATATCCGAATTTTTCAGATCGAATCGAAATGAACACCAAATCAGATCAAATGTAACGAATAATTTACCCAGCCCTCTGTAGTATAGGGAGTGTATCTTTGGGTCATGTCTTTGTGGACAGGATACTTTTTGTATAGAGAGTGTATCTTTGGGTCATGTCTTTGTGTGGACAGGATACTTTTCGTAATTGTGTCTATAAGACTATAACGAGAGAGGAATGAGTGGGAAGATCAGATAAGAAAAATGATCGTAAATTACAAAGTCATACGAAAATTTATTTACAGGAAAAAACAAGTTATGTTTTTGTTTTTTTTCAAAGATCAACTTATTCTTTGAGTTGTGTGAAAAATCTTCCAAAATGTGCGAGTGGGGCTGCGGGATAATATAGAAAAGTAGGGAGTCACATGGGGACACTATGATTATTTGGTATAACATTATGCACATGATTTGTGGCATGACATTCGCTGGTCTCACCTTCTAATATTCTCTTATTTTTTAGTGTTCATCTTTGAATTAAAGCTGCAAGTGCCAACACCCCAAAAAAAAATACAAAAAAATAGAAATACAGAAGAAGCTTATTAAGAGAAATCCTAACACTACCTTGGACAGATCGCCCCATTTTCCTTAAGCTATGGTCTCTAGTCAATATTGGCTTTCTTCCAAAGTGATTTTATTATATGGGAAAGTGCTATTTTTTAATTGGGAAGTCCATTCCATCGTAAACACAAATGTACATTTGTTGGAAAATGTTATGGTATGTTTGGAGGATAAAGAATGCATATAACATGTTGTTGTGGTGATATTTTATTGTTAATCTGATACTCTTTTCGGCTTTTGAGACTAGTGAAGCTAAGTGACTCTCGTTTGATGAGGATGACTAAAAAGTAAAACACTGTGGGATACCAAAAAAGGATTTACATAATTGATTAATATAATTATTATGGCTTCGATAGGCTTTATTTATTTATTTGGATATGCTATTTTGGCTGGGTTATGAGAGATGGAAAAAGAGATGTTAGATTTCTTAGTGTCAAAGCTCACCCTCGTCTTAGGCCTCTTCTGAATATCGAGGCATCTGCAATGCAACATAAAATTAAGATAGGTTAGCAAA